AGGGTCAGGTAATTCACTTCTTACCTTTTTTCTGTGCTTGTGACCACTCTGCCCATATACTTACTTTGGCATCGGTGTGCCTTGCAGGTACACCCCCTCCTCCTCCTCATCACGGGTGAACAGGCAACAATCTAACAGAGTGCGGCCAGCTAGTGATCCCCTTCTGATCAGGTCAGATCAAAATTTGAATGAGTAAATGAAAACAAACATTTAGTTTTATTGATCTTTTTAATTTATTAGTTTATTTAACATTAATTAAATTGCTTATTTACAAATATTCAGATGAAATAGGCTTTTAAGTAGACTAATAGGTCATTAGACTTTCAAAAAATTTGGACTCAAGACTAAAGTTAAGTCTTTTATAATGTTACATATCATACTTAGGCTTTGAATATTTTAACAAATCAAACTCAAGTTTAGTAAAGTCTATCTCACCCCAACATATTTTCACCCCTACTAACCCCACCTCAGTTGTTACCTCTAATTTGGGTAACAAATGATCATCCATCTCGTTCTCAACATGAATCTCGTCCTCAACATGCACGCGGAATAAATTTTTCCGCCCCTCCCTACTCCCTTCCATCAAAAATTGTAATTCATTTAAAATGTATTTTTTTTTCATATCAACAAAAATTAATAATTAAATATTTAGACATTTTAATTATAATACTTTAAAAATAATAATAATAATTCAAATAAATTTACAATCTTAAAATTAAAAAAAATATATATAATAAAATTATTAAAAATAAAGATGATAAAATAAATTTAATAACTCTAATATGAAAGTGAGTGTGGAACATATACTAACATTTTACCTTCGTAATTAAAAATTGAGTTTACGTGTCACTGTTTTCAATTTTTTATTTTAAAAAATTTTAATATCCATTCTTACAACCGACTAATCACTGGTTTTAATCAAATCAATTTTTTTGGGTTTAGATTTGGACAGAAGGCTGTTGTGACATATTATTGTGACATAATTTTATTTTGTTTTTTAAGATTATCAAAATAAAACTTTTTTCCACAATCTCACTAAAAAAACTCGAATCAAATACACTTATTTATAGGAATGTTTTCCACATAATATTTGCTTGCCTAATTGTGGATCTCAATTAAATAAATCTAAGTGAAGAAATAAAAGATAATTATATCATCTGTTTCATGCATGAAACGACAAAAAAAATTCAAAAGAAAGAAAGGTGACAGCATGTGAATATATTTTGGACAGCACGGCATCGTGTAAAAGCTAAAACTCTCCCTGAATGTATGGGAGGAGACAGATAGAGGATTGTGTCTGTTTGTTTGGTAGAGAGAGAAAGACAGAAAGAAAGAATAATGGTTGTTGTAAAATCTCACCGTTCATTTTCAACTTTTTCTCTTTCTCTGGTTCCCCAAACTCTTTCCACCGAAATCATAGCTACACCCATCGTCTTCAACAATTCATTTCCTCTTAGATTCGTCATTTTTCTCTCTCTTTTTTACTCTGCATCTTTTCCCTCAAAATAAATCATCATTTGCTTCCACTTAATTTTTTTCTATATTCGTCTTCACTAATACAACAAGGTTCGTTTCATGTTTTATTACAATTTTCAATTTCTCTCTCCTTTTTCTTTCTTCAATTAATTTACATTTTGAACCTAAAAATAATGTGTTCATCCAAATTTGCAGGATGGGGAGAGTTAAACTCAAGATAAAGAAATTGGAGAGCACAAGCAATAGACATGTCACTTATTCAAAAAGGAAAAGTGGAATTTTAAAGAAAGCAAAGGAATTATCAATTCTATGTGATATCGATATTCTCCTTCTCATGTTTTCTCCAACAGGAAAACCTACATTGTTACAAGGAGAGCGCAGGTAATAACATTATCAATAACAATACCAATAAATCATGCATTATGTATCACATGTTTCTAGTATGATGAACAATTTTGCATTTCTATGAGTAAATCATAATTGATTCAATAGCCATGTATTGATTCGCATGTGCCTATGTACTTGACCTTGTAATTTCGAGGGGTGGAAGTTCAAATTGTTTTAAAAAAGAGTTGTAAGGAGATAATTAGCATTGAATAAGAGGTTTTCCAGAAAGAAAAAAAAACAGGAATCAATAAGTTCATTTTCTTGTAATTGTATTATTCAGTTTACAAAATCAAAGTTAGAGTCTGTACTTGCTAAAAATACAAACAAATGTGTGACAACTTCTAGTGAATAAAGGGTTGTCAGAAGCTTTGAGGTTTGTTTTGAAGTTGAGAGCTAACTCGCGTAAGGTGAGGTGAGAAGCTCTGTATGCGCACATTTTTGTATTCGAGTTAACCACCACCTAGCCGGATTTGGGACTGGATCCAACACCTCCTGGGAAACAACCACCACCTAGCGAATGGAGAGTTGATTCTCTGATACTTATGGAGCGTGGATAACTCCCACGACTTCTTCTGCATATCGTGGACCAAACACACATCATCCCCACGATCACGTGATATGGGCGGAATATGAAGGATTCGGGCAATGTATTTGGAAAAGGGGCATCATATCCCACAAACGGGTGCTCGAACCTAAAAGGGGCGACTTTGAAGGGACAGTGGGCGAAACATATACTTCTGAAGTGATTTGAAGGGACAGTGGGCGACTTTGAAGGGACAGTGGGCGTCATATCCCCTCCAATTACACCACTATAGAGCCCATTCACCTGTATATCAGATCAATTAAAATATTAGAATCCATTTTTGAAGTGTTTATAAGTCAAAGGTGCATATTAAATCTATGACGGTTTTTAACAATTATGCATATGTTCGTTTTATTTCCAGTAACATGGAGGAGATCATTGCAAAATTTGCGCAACTTAGTCCACAAGAAAGGGCCAAACGGTTAGAGAATTTCTTCCACTGAAGTGTTATTTTATTTTCATTCATGATGATGAATGAGCTAATTAATCTCTTTTCTTGTTCTAATTGAGCAGGAAAATGGAAAGCCTTGAAGTAAGATTACTCTCCTCTTCTCATATTGCGTATACTATTTTGGTTGCAACAAGTGCATATTTAATGTTGTCTCCTCATTTTTTTCTCAATGCTTAAAAATCTAGTCTTGTTTAAATTGTAGGCACTGAAGAAAACCTTCAAGAAATTGGATCATGATGTAAAAATACAAGATTTCTTGGGCTCAAGGTAAGCGACTGTAATTATCCTATTGTGAGTGTTTTCTTTGTTAATGGTTTTGAAGGTTCTGACTTGTCCTTATTTTCATCTTGCAGTAGTCAAACGGTGGAGGTACAATTTATTCACAAACATCATCTTGGTTAATAATTACTTCAAAATCTTAAGTTGGTAGTTAAAAGACCAAATGGTTACTAGTTGAATTGCCATTTGCAGGATCTAAGTCATCAAGTGAAAGTTTCGCAAGCGCAACTTGCAGAAATACAACAGAGACTGAGGTGCAACTTTGGAGCTTTTGGTTGTTAAAGTATTTCTTTTTCTTTTTTGGTGTTATTTTATTGCTCTCTTGTTGAACTACTATTCATTTAAACCTCATATTCTCATTTGCATGCCAGCAAAGTTGTTTAAAATGATGCCAATTTACATTTCTCACACCTATAAAACAAGGCTAAAACAAATCTTTTTTATTTTAGGCATGTTTATATGTTTGATACAAGCATTATAGATATTGTCGCAATCTATTTGCTTCAATCATAACAATGTAGAGGTAAAACAAAGTTAACTATACATTGTAATCCTACCCCCATCCCCAAACCTTTCACGCATAATTAAAAACCACCACCAAAATAATGTGTTTGTAGGAACCTTGTTTTTTTCCCTATACAAACTCTATTGATAAAGACACAGTCAATTTATGTCAATTACTATTATAAATTGAGAAATATCACTTGGTGTGTATTTATGTCAATTTGTGTCAAACTCTATTCATAAATATGTCAAAAACACTTAAATTGGCCATCATAGTAATCCTGTTTTGAATTTGCAATATCTCAGCTATTGGAGTAATCTGGAGAAGATCAACAACTTGGAACATCTTAGACAAATGGAAGAATCACTCAGGGAATCAATCAATCGGGTGTGTATACAAAAGGTAATATTTGGTTTCATACCGATTGGTCATATCTTTCTGTCATTTTCAAGTGGTTGTGATGAATAGCCAATTAAATATTAGATGCGTATGTCAACATGCTTTCATTCCCTTAGAGGATCCTTGCTACATTAAGAGTTATGAAGTCGTGCGAGTGTATTGATATACTATTTTCATTGCAGGAAAATTTAGGAAAGCGCCAACTAATGTCACTTGAATGTGCTAACCAGGTAAATAGTGTTGTGTTATCTCTATCTTTCTTTTATCTCTTCCTATTCTCTTCGGGATAATCTTATTTGGGATTACATTGCTTATAGTTACCGGAAGGGATGACTTTACCCTTGATGATGACTGGTCTACAAGAATCCCAATCCTTGTCTTGGCTTCTAAGTGGTGATAATCACCAGTTGATGTTACCTAGTGAACCAAAATTTCTGCCATTTAGGTGAGTTAACTATGATATGAAGCTTGCATTCACAATTATACAGAGCTTTGAAATAATATTATCGTAACAAAAAGGTCGACCGCTTTCTTTCTATCATAGTCTATTCTATCTGCTTTCTTATTAATGTTTCATTAGACCAATGATTTTTCAAATTTTCCTTATGAGCATAATATATATTACCTTGTGCTTCATCTTACAATCTATTTACTGGTTCAATTCTATAACATACAGTGATAATGGCAATAGAGACGTGGAGTGCTCCACCGACATTTCACTCCCAGGGTACTCCGGTTATATTGGGAATGGTAAACTTGAGGTTGGAAGCTCTCCAAATGTCACTAATTTGGGTCAGGGAAATGGTAACATGAATGAGTTAAATGGAAATTCAAATCCTTACTTAAATGTACAACATTGTGAGCAGCAATTTGCATACCCTCCTTCTCAAGATCTCGAGGATGCGAAACATCACCAAACAATGAATAGTAAATCAAATACTACAGATTACCAAGTCAATAACAATTATGAACTTCCGAGATCACTATTCGAAACGGGACATCAGTTCTGGAATTCTACTCCTGGCTCTTGCGGGATTGCCATGTATAATGAGAATGGCTACCATAGGGTAAGCAGATAGCCTTTTTTTTCCTTTTCTGTTTTGGTTTCTACTTATCTCGTAAACAAGTTGGCTTATTATTTCCTGTATTTTGCAGTAACTGATTGGTTCATGCCAGCTTCATCAATTGAAAAGGATGATGACTTCAATGATGTGACCATTATTACTGGAACTAGATTATGTTGCTTATTCACTTATGAGACCAAAGATGTTCCTAATAGAGGGTTGTCTATGATAGTTGTATATAATGTATGCCATATAGGATATAGTTTGTCCATATACAAATATTCTGTTGCCTTCAATACTGACTTGTTTACTAGTAGATTTTTTTAGTTGAGTTAGTGATCCAAGTTGTAAATTTGATTTTTGTAGAAAATCAAGTGTAATCATATATTAACAACATCAAGACCCCTAAATGTGGGTCAAGCTTTCTAAGGCCCTGATTATACCAAATGTAGGTGTATGGCATGTTTATTTGATATTGTAAGACATTTTTTAAAGTAAAACAAAACCTTTAAATGAGTTCTTAAAACCAAAATCAAGTTAAACGAAGTAATCTTATATCACCAAATTAAAACTAAAACAATGAAACATTTTTAATGTTAGAGGTGGATTTAAAAAACCAAAAGCAAATCCTAAAAAAAAAAATTTGACTAATTGGAGATGCGGGGTATCGATCCCCGTACCTCTCGCATGCTAAGCGAGCGCTCTACCATTTGAGCTACATCCCCATGATGTTAATTTCGAATAGTAGTGAATAAATATTTATTATGCATTCTCATTTATATTAACACGATTGCTTTTATCTTCAAAATCAGATGGTTGTTTCGCATAAATCTCTTTAATTATAAATTCTTTTGAGAATTCACTTTTGACATTCATTTGATATAAATGATAGATTTTAATAGTTATTTGGTTCATGTAAGTTTGCATGTTTTTCAATTTGGTCCCTGAATCTATTTTTGTTTGGATTGTATCTTTGATATGTTCAATCTTGTTGTTTTAAGCTCCTGGCGTTAAGCTATTGTTTAAAAAAATGGTTATGTGTCTAACGGGTCTGAATTGGATTTATTATTTTCGTTTTATATTAATTCACAAATTGTTATGTGGCATAATATGTTTCCCTATAAATAATTTTATATTAATTCTATTTCTTATACGGTCTTATAAATGTTTAGTCTTCATATTTTTTTGTTTAAGTCCTTGCAAATTAGGGTTTTTCAAAAACACAGGAACTGGGAATGGCGGCAAATAGTGAATGCAAGTTGTGAGACTCTACAGTGACTAGAACAAAAATCCTATTCAGTCATTCAGAGACTATGTTTCATGCCAATTTACTGGTATGAGTTTTACATTGAAGGTTCATTATGGGGGTAAATTTGCTATGTGTAATATATCACGTTGGGTGACATGAACATGTAGTAGAGATTGATCCTGACAAGTGGATTTACTTTGAAACTATTGGTATTGTGAAAGATATAACTCAGCTTGAACACTCCAAATTTTGTCTATGGTTGTATAACAGTGAAGTTGACGAGTACATTAGGATAGCTAATGAAGTGATGCTGAAGTTGTTTTTGCATATGTCATTGAAATGAATTCTAAAGTGGATATTTACGTCGAGTATAATGGTAGTATCAATGTTGAAGGTGGACATAATGTTGAAGGAGTTGAAAGACTTGAACGTGGAGACAATGTTGTAGGTGAAGATGTTGTGAATGTTGAAGATAATATTGTAGGTGATGGTAGTGATGACAGTGACTTTGAAGGTCATGGTTTATCATTTGATGATAGTGAGGATGAAAGGGCTCTTGGGTTGGATGATGGTTTTGATGAGCAAGCCAAGATTGATGGTAAAAGAGTGCGGTCAAAAAGTATAGCTAGGAAGCACAAGAATACTCCAATGAAACTAGCATTTGATGTTGATAACATAGGCTCATCTAGTGGTGTGGACCATGAGAGAGAAACCAACTATTATAGTGATGAGCTTGGGAGCAGTGACCCCGATGCTTCTAATAATGAAAAGGAATCAAAGTATCCAAGGTTTATGTGTTTTTTAGATTGTGGCTTTATTTAATTTGGCAAAGACCTTTAAGGATATATGTAATGCATTATCGGTTTGTACAAACTTTTTTTCTATTGACAATGTTCAAATGCATTATAAGTTCTTTCATAAACATGGATGAAATATATTAAATAACTAGCAACGACTATAAAAAAAAACATGGATGAAATATATGAAATATATTAAATATATTTGGCAAACTTTTTTGCTTTAAGGGTATATACTGAGCTAAGGGTTAGTCCTAAGTTTACTCGGCAAGATTCACATCTTGTGCCTACGTATCCTGGATAGGGAATGGAATCAGAGTAATCGTAGTTCCCCTCGAAAGGGAGGTTAGAAACTTCTTGATTGTGGTCAAGGTTTCAAAGGGGAGTAAGTGTTTCTTAAGAAAGCGCTTACGTGGAGTCTCGAAACTCTTATTTCTACGTTGAAATTGTTAATTGAAATTAGGGTTGAAATTAGGGATTCCACTGCGTGAAACCCTAAAACAGAGTACGGCGACTCTTTGACCTAACGCTAGGGTAAAGGGCATTTTCGTCCACGGCGGGACACCTAGGCATATTAGGGTTTGAAACGGTCAAGGGTTAGGACTATTGACTCGGCGGTCAAAATGCTAGACATAATCCTTCGGAGGGACGTTAACGGTAAATAACAAATTATTACATGGTAGAATTTGAAATATAGGAAAATATGAAAGCAGTAAAAAAGTGCAAAACGACGATCACTCGCGTAAATTACAACCGTGAAACGAAACGGAAAAATGAGGTGTTACAAACTGTACAATCGAAAATCAACGAATGGAACGACATAACAATATAGACGAAATAAATGGGGCAAAGTCGGAGCTTAAGCCTGCAGTTAGGCGACAGTATTATTCGAACCTGAACTTGGAAATGCTAAATAAATTGTTAAGAAAAGGATTTAATATTGGTGAAAGAATTTACAAAACGAATTTTTTCAAATTTACAATTTGTTAGAAATTTATTTAAAGAAAGAAGTTACTCTAAAAACTTACTAAAAAAGTTTTTTATTCTAAATTACAAATGGTTTTAGTAAAAGGAGGTTTTTATGTCTAAGTTAGTAAAATATGGATATTAAAATTCTTTTAACTTTAAAGAACAGTCTTAATTAGGAAAAGACTTTAATTAGGAAAATTTTCTAATTTTAAAAATATGGTTTTAAAAAAATGGTTTAACTTGAATTTATTAAAAGATGTTTTTTTTTTTCCATAAGCCCTCTATTTAATTTTAACAAAGAATTTAGGTTGAAATTATTATTTAAGACATTTTATATATATAAGTTGTTTAAATGATGTTACTAACTATATAAACAAATTTACTAACTATGTTATTAAAAAAATATTTCTAATGAAGAAAAAAAATGATTTCAAGTAAAAAGAATAAACTAACTATAAGTTATAAAAAATGTTTTTTCTTATTATAATAACAAAAAATTTAGTTATGAATTATTAAACAAAATGTACTTAATAATTAATTATTAAACAAAAACTTTTAATTATTAAACAAAAAGTAAAAATAATTACATTGAAAACAGAAACAAGTAGTAAAAAGGGGACAACTTTGAGCACCTTGTTTTTCTCTTTTTAGGTTTTTAGAACCCTTCCTCTCCTTCCTCATTGATCGGCGGCGGCCATGGATGCTTCCCTGCAGATTTCTCCATTTTTTTTTGCATGATTTTTCTGTCCATTTCTTTTGACACCTGCGAAACAAAAAACAAAACGGAATCGGATAGTTGCTCACCTTCTTAGGAAGGTTGGAAGCGGCAGATCGGTTGGCCGTCTCGGAGGGCGATGATGACGGTGAAACGTCTGTCTGAGCCCGGTTGGGTTCTATTTGAATCAATCTCGTATCTCCTTCTGACGGCGGCGCGTTCGTTCTTTCACTTTCACTTGGTCGATGATGGAAACTGAGGTTTCGTGATGACGAAAAACCTTTTTTGAGGTTTTTATGAAGTTTATCTAAATCCGGGTTTTTGCCGTTCTCCCTTGAGTTATGGTTAATAGGTGTTCTTTCTTGAATGAATCCCCTAAATGAATCTTTGTGATGTTGTTATACAAAGTTTGAGCTTCTGATGTGGGCTTGGGTACGATTGTTTTTCTGCTTGATTATCTGAGGTTGGCGCTTTTCTTTAGGAGATTAGCACGACATTCACGCTTGGTTTGTTGCATGCATTTGACGGAACTTGTTTGTTGTGATTTGTTGGGCTTATTTGATCCGTTGAAACTGAGATTTTCCTGGAAAAATGTGTTAAGACCATGTTTGGCAAAACCACTTTTCGGGAAAAATCATTTTTTCAAATAAGTGTTTTTCAATAAGCACTTTTCGATAATCACTTTTCTGGAAGCGCTTCCTCTCTCTCTGTGTTACCTTGAAATAAGAACGGATATTACCGGTTTAGCTGAAATGTCAGAAATGAGTCAGGAGTTGATTTCAGAGCAATTTGTTACCCTCCCGACGTACCTGGTGATGACACTTGATCTGAGGGTATCGGAGTCCCATTTCTAACCATTTAAAATTGTTTGTTTTTGTTTACTTTGCAGATTCGGACAAAAATTCGGAAACTCGAAGAATCGGGAGTCGGAGACCACTTTAGGAATTTTAGGATTTTTTTTAGAAAAATTGTAATCAATTTGTATTTTTCTTCCTTTTGATCATTGTAATAAAATAATTATCATAAATAAAACTTTAATTTCATTATTCGGTTATTGCAACAAAATAACAAAATAAAATTCTATTTTCTAATAATTTGGAATTTATCAGTCCAACTTATCCGATTAAATCCCATCTTGGATAAAATCTCCGAGTAATCTGGTAACTTAAACAACTAACCTCACCCGAATAAATTCCATTTGTTTAACTTCATCCGAATAAATTAAATTGATTTAATCCACTTTGTTCAATTAACTCAAAATGACAAAAATCTTCTGATGCCAATT